TTCTGTATGTTTGAAAGTTATTCTATATTTTTTTTATAGTGAACCAATTTTTTTAGGAATTGAGACTTATTGAATTCTTTCAAACAGGAGAGTCAGCTAGAGTTTGCTGTCAAGGACATATTGATTATCTCTGGGGCAGAAGATTACATTCCTCTATTTGCTCGACACCGCATCACCATAGAAACTATGGTGACCCTGTCAGAGGATGACCTCAAACAGATGGGTGTTCACGAGCTGGGTCTGAGAAAGGCTGTCCTGAAGAACATTGCCTGCCAGCAGACGGGAGAGAAAACAGCCTTGGAGAAGGTTAGGGAGAAAACCAGAGTAAGTTTAAGACAATTATCAGCTTTTAATTCCAGGCTTCATCACTTCTAGTCGGACAGTCATTCTGAGGGAAAACATGTTCTTTATCTTATCTTAAATGATACAGACGTTACTTCAAAATAGAAGATGATTACGTCATGCATTTAGTCATGCATACTATTAACCTTTGACCTAAATTCTGCCAAGTGATTGGTTTTCCTGGCTAGCTCAGGCAACCCATTCCGTGCTCTAATAGCACTAGGGAAGAAGGAGTATTTGTACAAATTTGTCCTAGCATATGGGATGAGGAATGTGCATTTATCTTTGTGTCTGAGTATTTTATTAAATTTTGTTTTTGTATTTGAAGATTATGGTTCAGTGTTTTATGTATAATTGCTACTTTACTTTTAAGTCTTCTATCCTGAAGGCTTTCTTTACAAGAGGACTGACAATGGGGGTAAAAATTAAATTTCTGTAAGAAACAAAAGGAATTGAGCTCTCGCTCTGTCCAACTATTATTGTGTTCATCTTGTAGATAAAACATAACAAAAAAATGGCTTCTATAAATCAGTTTAAAATTGAGATAATTTTTTCTCAGTGTGTAAATATATTTAGCTGGGTACATTGAAAATAAATTTGATTCTCTGATTTGTCTATGGCTTTGACCTGTTTTATGACTGTAAATATGATTCTCTTTGACACGCTAGGAGATGTTTGTACCAGTTCACCTAAGTCTGCCTTCAGCTTCAACAGCAATACAACCATCGGCTCCGATAGCTTCTCCTGATGGATTGCCCTCTCTGCCAGACTCCCTACTGCAAAGGCAGTTGTCCGTCACAGCTAGAGGATTGCATTCTGAGTGTTCTATTTGCCTTGATAACAAGGTATGAGTAGAGATTGTATTTTATGCTAATTAGTTCATCTAAGCTGCTGTGCCTTTTTGGTTTATTCTTTTTTTACTCTGTCATGGGTCGTGCATTGTAGGAATTGTATTATATCAAGGTCCAGTAATATACTTGATATTAGTAGAATGTCCATCTTTTAAACATTACAAATGCTTCAATACATCGCATCAACAAAAGATTTGTTAAAGACACATTTGGAGACTTCATTCTTAAGATGAGGTCTTTGGCCAAGATGTTCCTTTAACAGCAATGAGCAATGTTAGCCCACAGGGCATAACCAGTCCTTGAGCCCCTCCAGATTAGTGCAGGAAGTAAGGATGCTCAAGAAAATAAAGGGAAGAAAAAGAAAGGTTGGGCCTTCACTGACATCTTACATCGGTTGAGGCAACTCTATCTGATAGACCTCTAACATTCGGTTGAGGCAACTCTATCTGATAGACCTCCAACATTCAATTGAGGCAACTCTAACTGATAGACCTCTAACATTCGGTTGAGGCAACTCTATCTGATAGACCTCTAACATTCGGTTGAGGCAACTCTATCTGATAGACCTCTAACATTCAGTTGAGGCAACTCTATCTGATAGACTTCTAACATTCGGTTGTAGCTACTCTATCTGATAGACCTATAACATTCGGTTGAGGCAACTCTATCTGATAGACCTCTAACATTCGGTTGAGGCAACTCTAACTGATAGACCTCTAACATTCAGTTGAGGCAACTCTATCTGATAGACCTCTAACATTCGGTTGAGGCAACTCTATCTGATAGACCTCTAACATTCGGTTGAGGCAACTCTATCTGATAGACCTCTAACATTCGGTTGAGGCTACTCTATCTGATAGACTTCTAACATTCGGTTGTAGCTACTCTATCTGATAGACCTCTAACATTCGGTTGAGGCAACTCTATCTGATAGACCTCTAACATTCGGTTGAGGCAACTCTAACTGATAGAACTCTAACATTCAGTTGAGGCAACTCTAACCAACAGAACTCTAACATTCGGTTGAGGCAACTCTATCTGATAGACCTCTAACATTCGGTTGAGGCAACTCTAACTGATAGAACTCTAACATTCGGCAACTCTGAAAGAAGTGGCAAAAACATATTTTAAAAAAAATTATGCTGGGTATAAAGTTTAGTGACCACAACCTTAACACATGAAATGCTTGGCCCTCTGGTCAATATGGCCGACATTTTCTTTTAGAAAGTCAACAAGTACAAATGTAAAAAAAGATGTGAAATATGTTGCTTATAAAGAATATTTCACTCTTGTATGTTTAATCTATTCCAATGTTTGTCTCCCTACAGTCAAACATTATATTCCTGACTTGCGGTCATGTGTGTTGCTGTGCCACCTGTGCGACGCCGGTCAAGGAGTGTCCACTCTGCCGAGCGCAGATTTCAGCCAAGATTCGAATCAGTCTGCCTTCTACATGAGTTTCAGCCAAAGTTGAGTTGATCTACTTGCCTACTTTTGTAATTTAATACTTGTAGCATTGCAGCTGACCTTTGACCTCCACTCATATGAGCTTGTCGGATATTGTAATCATCTTACTGGTTGATTTATTAACAAATTGTAAAACTTGTGATGTATTTTAGTATATTTTGGCTATTCTGCTAACAGGTGCACCAATTTCAATTAGGCTGCCTTGGTTTTTTTAAAGCATTGATATATTGATGAGAATAAACTTACTCTGCATGGACTGACAATCAATCAAATGAAACCAAATGTGTACATTCACATACATAGCACCGTAAACCTGGTTGCATTTTTAGAGATTTCATAAAGTTTGAAATACAAAAGCGCCAGTTTTTTTTCATACCAATCTAAAAAGTATTTTTTAAAAAATATTGAGTGCAAAGTAGTGGATTGGTAGACTACAATAGCAAGCTGTTAGTTACTGATTAGATTATTTAGAATGAATTGTAACCATTTGCTTGATTAAGGATAAGCTTTTTAAACAACCAAATGCATATGTTTCATCTTACCATAGGTTAATTGAAACTTTGACCAGATCAAAAGATTTTTTTTTCAAAGTCTCAGCTCATTATCACCAGAAGACTGCACATTCACTTGATTTCATATTGACAAGAGTTGATTTGTTTTTACTTGGTTTGAGACGATGACATCATTCCAGCTGAAAAAAAGGTCTTTTAGCTTCATTCCATGTCACCCTCCAGTTGTACTCCTATTTCCTTCAGTTCATTGGTTCAACAGTTGTTTTTTTTATTCATTTAGCTAGATACAACTTGACACATGAATTGAAAATAGAAATAAAAGCCTTACTTTATTGACTGGAAGCTATTTGTTTATAATTAAAACATCTACTTTGATTATATGATTATATAACTTTGTAGTCTGTCATTTGAGTTTAAAAACATACCAAACGAAAAGGGTTATATTTTTTTTAAGCCTTATCTATTTTCTGTGTTCTAATTAAATTGTTTATGTTGGAGTTTGTTACAGTCTAGAGATTTTTATGTTTTATTTATTCTTATTTTATGATTTTAGTTAAGCCAAATTTTGTTTTGAATTTCCTTTTAATTGTAGTACACTTTAATTGTTTGTTTACCAAACTGAGGGTTATAGACAGCAGCAACATTGGATGTATAGAGCTTTATATTGTGGCCACTTTGTAAGGTTTGACTTTATGTATTGATTGTTGAATCTAGGTTCCGCTGTGTTCCAATGGTCAACAAACAATTTGTTTGGTACTGAAACGGTTAGTTATATCTTTTTTTAGTTTTTTGATGTGAAGAGGTTCATTCTGGTACCAGTACTTAAAAAATGATTTGGTTATGATTTGCTTGAATTCATTATGTATTGACATTGACTTTTGAGATTAATATTATTTGTTGTATTGATATTATTTGTTAAAAATGTACTATTGGTTGTCATAAGTTATTCAAATGTTTTTTATGTATTCTGCAATAATCTGGGTTTTACTAAGTTTTTAATGTTTTGATGGATTTCATTCAAACTTGTCTCAGTCATACAAAGTAGATTGTGCTCATAAAGTTAAGTTTCCCTTTCAGACCCTGCCATCTACAGGGCAGGTGATGTTAAGGTCATTTGTTTCTTTGTACAATGGTTAACGAGCTGGGTATAATGCAGCCAACACTACGACCAACCACCTTTACTTTTCTCATTTAAAGTCAGGTACCCAATAGAGCTGGGTGGACTCTGGGGTGCCCTAAAGATCCTGAAATTCCAAATCCCAGTCTTCACTGAGAATCGAACTTAGGACCCCTGTTTCAGAAGCTAAGCGCTTAACCACTCAGCTAACATGCCTCCCTACATTGCGACCATTGTTGATAACAAAACATATTAATTTGTATTCTTTGCCCGTACATGCAACATAAACTGTTGATTAAACAGATACAAAGATAACAAATTAAATGCTTAGAGATACAAGAGCCTAAGAAATCATCTATCAGTGGTTTTCAATGAACATCACCAGTATTAAGAAATATTTACAGATATTAGGTCACATTGTTTTTTTTTTCCTCCTAATTGAGATGATTGTGGTGTGGAATTTTACCCAGAAACCATGCTTATGTTGTATGATCTTGTTCCCAACTATCTATTAGGTTATAGATGTTTTATTGCCCAGAAACCATGCTTATGTTGTATGATCTTGTTCCCAACTATCTATTAGGTTATAGAAGTTTTATTGCGCAGAAACCATGCTTATGTTGTATGATCTTGTTCCCAACTATCTATTAGGTTATAGAAGTTTTATTGCCCAGAAACCATGCTTATGTTGTATGATCTTGTTCCCAACTATCTATTAGGTTATAGAAGTTTTATCTTCTAGTTGTGAAATGAACTTTTATCTTTGAGCTTGTTTGAATTAAAATTTATCCAACAAACACATTAGACAACTTGAACAAGTTTTTCTTTCTTTCTTTAAATCAATAAGATTTATCTTTAGATCAACAGTAGTCTTTCTTGAGATTAACAGTAGTCTTTCTTGAGATCAACGGTAGTCTTTCTTGAGATCAACAGTAGTTTTTCTTTGGATCAACGGTAGTCTTTCTTTAGATCTGAAGTATCTATCTTGAAATTAATAGTATCTAGTGACATTTTTGGTTACTTGATGAGTAAGAGCTTCCTGGTCACCTAGTGCTTACTTAGAGACAGGTTGTCCCTGTTTTCGCTTTCCTCTTTTCGACTTCCTATGGCTGACTTTGGTAAATGTGTTTTGTCTTGTCTAAGGATATGTCCTGCGAATCTCATACAACGTTCGGTCACCACTTCACTTAGGAAAGGCTTTCTTAATTGGTGACATGAGTTGGTATGTTATTCCGAGGATCTTTTTCAGCCATTGCTGCTGAGCCAAGTGCAGCCTCTTTTTGACCTTTGTGGATGACTTTCGTGTCTCGCAAGCATAGGTGGATCTAGGTCTCTAAACTTATTGATTTGTTTGCCCAGATAGGCGTAGTTTTGAAATGACAGTTTCTGATTTCCCTGACATACATTGTGATCTGCCATCACTTGTCTGCTTATACAGCCTGATTCATGTTTTTTTTGTCATTACATTGACGTTGTCTTGCAGAAATGGGCACAAGACACAAACCTGTCTCACACCCGTCTTAATGTTTAAGAACTCTGTTATTCCATCATCTGCACTTACACGCAACAGCTAGATGTCCAAGGATCAGGACAAATAGTCACGAGATGACATATTTTCTTGCTATTCTTAGAGTGATGCTATTTTTTAAATCCACAAAACTGATCATCATCTTTTGTTGGCATTCCAGGCTTTGCTCGAAGATGTTTCACAGGAAGCTATTCTATTCAAAGCTTGATCTACAGGTATCTCTGTGGAAGCCTGCTTGCTTGATTTTAATCTGTGACCTGTTGTAGTTGTCATGCAAATGAGCCTAACCTTTAAAAAAAAAGCTAAATTAGCTATTTTTTTAGTTTCTCTTTTGTAAGGGATTGTTTTTGGATATTTTATTCATCACTAAAAAAAATGTTTGTTTTCTAAACATTAAGAATGGACTTAGCAATTTTAATTTTGCTCTGAATTTAAGAGAAATTGTTTACTCTGTCACTTCAATGTCTCTCATTTAATAAACATTTTCTCAATAGATTTATATATCCACAGTGTACAATTTTATTTAGCCTGGCCAAATTTATATTATCTCTAAAGTACCCATTATAGGAAAACTTTCTGAACAGTATTATTTATAACATATATCATTGAATCTTTATTAATATGCAAACCAAAACAAACCCAGACACTTCAGTTTCTGAAAATACTATCATATTACACATTATCCACATATTTATTGTCAAGAAAAAAATGAAACATGGATTTGACTCTTTATGTTAATCACTCAGTTTGGCTGTGATTTTATATTGTCTCCCTTTATTTATCTATTTGTATACAATTATTCCCCTTAACAACTGACTTTCATTTGACTTGGGGCTCATATTTCACATGTATATTATTTATCAAACGTGTTATCCTGTAGTTTTAGTAGATTTTTTCTTTACAACAGTTCATAACTTGTAGATTGATTATCATGTTTGGATAGAGAGAGAAATTATTCTTTTTAACAAGACAAAGGTAATGTCTAAATCCAAGTTGTAAATTTAGTTTGCCATTTATTTTTATGTATGCATATAAAAGAAACTATTTTGTCTCCTAGTTCAAGCTCAAACAATAAGAATTCCATTCATCATCTTTGACTTGAACCTAACTAAAGGAATTTGTATTCATTAATTAGCATATGGTGTTAGCCACCGTTGTTTCAATCTCACAGTGGAGGGTTACAATTTAAATTTTTAATTGTAAAATGTGAGTAGGAAGTCTAAAACAGGTGATGAATGCTGGATGGATGAGTGCTGGATGTCCTTTTGATGGAAACAAGTGACACTTCTTATAACATGACTGTAAGTTTGTGTCCATGCAATAGGTTCAGCTGGTACTTGCTCTGACAAGGCTTTGGGTTCAGGGCATTGTAATAGGTTCAGCTGGTACTTGCTCTGACATGGCATGGGTTCATGGTATTGGAATAGGTTCAGCTGGTAGGGGCTCTGACATGGCTTTGGGTTCAGGACATTGTAATAGGTTCAACTGGTAGATGCTCTGACATGGCTTTGGATTTAAGGCATTGAAATAGGTTCAGCTTATTCTTGCTCTGACATGACATTGTAATATGAATGTATTTGCCATCAAATTTCCAAAGAGATCAAAGCTATTTCACATTTTCCTTGACATTAGTGTGGTATGCTGTAAGACAATCTGTACACAATCAACGTGTTCTCTTGCCAGAGTCAATCAAAATATAATGAAGTTTGTTTCTGTATGTACTTCTATCCTGATACTGTTTGCCTTTAATTGAAACTTTTTACTAAGAGAGGATTGTCCTTTTGTCTTAGTTGTGAACCAAATACAAGTGCAATATAGCCTAAGCACAAAGACAGAACGATCTCTTCCCCAAATGTTGTTCTCATTGCTGTGTACAGTTCAATGATTCACAGACATTCATATTAGAAATACTTTGCATGTACAAGCAGCTCAAACTGATACAGGGGTAATTAAAAGATGTATGTATATTATGCAACAGTTGTTCTAATTCCGTTCAGAGAACACTTTCATTCATGTTTGATTATAAAAAGGTGTAGATGTTCTTGCATATGGAACATAAATGTTTTTTTTTACTTCATTTGTTAGCATTAGTATTTAGTGCAGAACTCTTATTAATGCACAAGTCTAGGAGGTACTATCTAGATTCTCTGAGACTGATCCCACAGTAAAATTAAAAGTACTCCCCACTCAAGATTCAATAAGGTAAATAGAATAGGAAATAATCCTCTGTATACAAAGATATATTGAAACATAATTTCTGTTTGGACAGTTTGTCCAACTATTTATTATATCTAAATGTCCAAATGTTTCTGTTTGTTTTGAAAGTGTTTTGATTCTATTTCCTGTTCCAATGTTGTCTTTTGTAACAGCACTTTGATGTCTTACTTGTTTCTTTCTTTTTTTTTACTTTGTACACAAGAAATAAATAAAAAATGAAAATTTTTTTTTGTTGAGTTTTTTTCTTTGCTAACATTTGAAAATGGAAGGCTGCCTGACCCCGGCATTTGGGCTGGGATGTAATAATGTTAGCTCTTCTGAAGGAACATCTTAAAGCATGACTGGTGTATAAAAGAAACAATAAAACAGTAAATATACATTCCCTCTAGTTGCAGTATGATGTGTCTGTAATAAGGCAGTGGTGTCACTATGGGGCTAATACCAGCCCTAATGGTCCCACTGTGCTAAGGGAGTGGTGTCACTATGAGGCTAACACCAGCCCTAATGAGACCACTGTGCTAAGGTAGTGGTGTCACTATGAGGCTAACACCAGCCCTAATGAGCCCACTGTGCTAAGGTGATCATTATCAAACAACTAAAGAACAGTTTAACAAGTCTAGAGATTCAAAAAGTGTATTTCTGATTATGTTACAAGTCCAACAACTATTTGACATTTTTAGTGAAACATGACTATGTGCAGTTCAAATCAAGTAAAGAGAAGCTGATAAATGCTTTGTACAAAATAAAACAAAACTCATTTCAATCGGTTGTAAATAAGTTAAGAAATCTGATTGGTACAACTGAATCAATAAAAAAAAATTTAACTTGCTGTGTATCAGACAAAAAAACTTGCATTTAACATTCAGATAATAAAAAGGTAACAGAAATGTCTCAATTGCTTCAATTCTAAGTGTCATTTCAAAGCAGGATGGGGGGGGGGAAACAATCTGCCGTTGTAATAGAAACACATTTCCTCGGCACATGACCTGACTGAAGAGACAAAAGCTGAGCTGGTTTGGTCATTTTGTGAGACACGACTCACTGTCAAAAGTCATCCTTCAAGGTCCAGTGGAGGGAGCATGAAGAAAGTGTCGTCCAAAGAAAAGCTGGCTGGACAATGTAAAAAAATGGCCTCTCTCTCGATACAGGAACAGATGCTGACAGGAAAAAATGGAGGGAGCATCCCTACGACAAAAGGGAAAGATGAGACGATGAGAGACATCTGGAGCAAGTAAGTTTGAAACAGTCTACACACGTATTCATTTCTTGGCCAATCTGCACTAAAATTGAGGTCACGCCATATGGCCAGAGCCTCCCCATTTTGTTTATAAAAACATTGGCATTTAGGTCAAGTCAGTGCCTTGCAATTCTTATGTTCTAATGTTTATGGCACATCTGTACAATCTGGGCAAAGTCATGACTAGTTCACCGAACCCTCCAAGATCATTTTACTGACCACATTGATAACTTCTTAAAGATCATTGACACCAGAAAAAATAACCAGATTTCCTTACAGGAACAAATTTACCACAAAAAAAAAACTTGTAAAAAAAAATTCATATCTACATACATCAAATTAACTTTATATTGTTATTAAAAATAATTTCTGTTAAAAAAAAACACAACAACATTCGTGTAAAAAGTTAAGAATATCAATATATAACATGTCAAAAATGTTGGGATAACAATTTGGAAAGCACCATCAATAACCATTATCATTGCACCATCACTAACCGTCGTCCTATTACCAATCTACCTGAGTAGCTAACACAGTCTGAGTACAAAGTAGCTAGCAGCCTTGTTGATGTCAATCATTCCAGTGTTTGAGTATTTGTGCAGCTTGTTGCAGTGTACTGTCCTTCTGTGAACAGCAATAATACAGCAAAAGCTTTACATGGGTAACACTGCAAGTAGCTATGGTGAATGACTCCATGTTGAGTCATCATAAAATGTTTACTATTACATATTAAATCAGGGACCTTAAGTAGCTGTGAAGTTCCCTTTCAGATCTTACAACCTATAGGGCAGATAATGCTACGGTCATCTGTTTCTTTGGCCAATGGTTAACAAGCAGGATGTCATGTGGCCAGCACAACGACCAACCACCTTTACTTTCCCCCAACTAGAGTTGACTGGACTCAGACGTGCCCTAAAAATCACAAAATTCAAAAACCTAGACTTCACTGAGATTTGAACCCAGGACCCCAGGTTCCAAAGCCAAGTGCTTAACCACTCAGCTACCGACATCAAGTGCTTGATATATATATATATATATATATGTATAAAAGTTAAAGGACACATGATAGAATGCCAGGATAAGGAAAACTTATTTTAATCTAATGCGTTCCATCTGATGAGATTGAAACCAATTAAAGTTAAGAAGTTAGCTGTCAAAGTCACAACTCTAGTAACGCTATCCTCTATTGTCTGGCCTAAATCACTTTGCTATCTTTCAATAAGGATGGAGTTCTAATCCTAACACGAGTGTTTGCTGTAGACAACTTTTAAATTACAGAAATATGTAGCAGCAAAGCACCTCTCAAGACTAAAGTAACATGATTGGAAGAATTCACCTCGTGTGGAGTTTTTGATCTCCCATCGAGCGCCTCCCCAGGTGGCGGATAGGGGAATGCCCTCCAGATATGGTGGGTACCGGGGAAATAAAATACCCGGGGTGGACCAAAATCAAACCTGCTGCCTTGCAGAAAGTGGAGGGATCCACAAAGGCTAGGGCACCTTACCCGAAAATAAAGGCAGCTATCCTGAGATCTGAAAGGGGCAGCCCCCCAGATGGTTATGCACAGGGCTAACAACTCTGTCATATAAAAAATACTGTTACGAAAACTAATACACACAAGAAAACCCGGACAGATCTCAACGGAAAACGACCTAGGCCTGGAAAAGGACATGATTTTTGTTTTGCGACATGGAACGTGCTAAGCCTTTATCGAGCAGGTGCGCTAGCCCAACTTACTGAAGTGTTAAAGAAATATAGGATACCCCTTTTGTAGCCCTACAGGAAATCAGGTGGAAAGACTCAGACATTCTCAGAACCAAGGAGTATACTATATTTTATAGTGGTGGAAGCACTAACAACTTAGGTACAGGTTTTGCTGTTAAAAAGGATATGGTAGGTAATGTCATTGGATTTAAACCTGTAAGTGATAGACTCTGCACACTACGTTTGAAAGGAAAATTCTTCAACATATCATTTATCAATGTTCATGCCCCTACTGAAGATGCAGATGATAACACAAAAGAAGCCTTCTATGATGGACTGGAAAGAATTTATGATGAAGCACCAAAACATGACATCAAAATAGTCCTAGGAGATTTCAATGCAAAAATTGGAAAGGAACCAGCATTCAGACCAACAATTGGCAAAGAAAGCTTACATGAAGAGACCAACAATAATGGCATAAGATTAGTGGATTTTGCATCAGGAAAAGGAATGTCTATCAGCAGCACAAAATTCCAACATAAGAATATTCACAAGGTTACCTGGATCTCACCTGATGGCAACACCCAGAATCAAATAGATCATATACTCATAGATAAGAGACATGGATTAGACATACTAGATGTAAGAAGTTTCAGAGGAGCTAATGCTGACTCAGACCACCTACTAGTAAAAGCTAAACTTAGACAAAGAATAAGTACCATACACAATTACCAAAGAAAGAGCACAGCAATAGGATAGTCAAAAACTCACAAAGGATCCACTTGTTGCAGAAACTTATAGAATGGCACTCCAAACACAACTGACAACATTGGAAAAGGACAGCGAAAATAACATAAATGAGCATTGGGAAGTAATAAAGCATGCTATCAACAGAATATCAGAAGAGGTAGTTGGATTGAAACAAAAGAACGAGACAATAGGGGGGGGGGGGGGTATGATGATGACTGCAGACACATTATAGAAGAGAAGAACAATGCTACAGACAGAAACCAGGAACACTAGACAGCAATACAATGAAGCAAGAAGAGAAACCAGGAACACTAGACAGCAATACAATGAAGCAAGAAGAGAAACCAGGAACACTAGACAGCAATACAATGAAGCAAGAAGAGAAACCAGGAACACTAGACAGCAATACAATGAAGCAAGAAGAGAAACCAGGAACACTAGACAGCAATACAATGAAGCAAGAAGAGAAACCAGGAACACTAGACAGCAATACAATGAAGCAAGAAGAGAAACCAGGAACACTAGACAGCAATACAATGAAGCAAGAAGAGAAACCAGGAACACTAGACAGCAATACAATGAAGCAAGAAGAGAAACCAGGAACACTAGACAGCAATACAATGAAGCAAGAAGAGAAACCAGGAACACTAGACAGCAATACAATGAAGCAAGAAGAGAAACCAGGAACACTAGACAGCAATACAATGAAGCAAGAAGAGAAACCAGGAACACTAGACAGCAATACAATGAAGCAAGAAGAGAAACCAGGAACACTAGACAGCAATACAATGAAGCAAGAAGAGAAACCAGGAACACTAGACAGCAATACAATGAAGCAAGAAGAGAAACCAGGAACACTAGACAGCAATACAATGAAGCAAGAAGAGAAACCAGGAACACTAGACAGCAATACAATGAAGCAAGAAGAGAAACCAGGAACACTAGACAGCAATACAATGAAGCAAGAAGAGAAACCAGGAACACTAGACAGCAATACAATGAAGCAAGAAGAGAAACCAGGAACACTAGACAGCAATACAATGAAGCAAGAAGAGAAACCAGGAACACTAGACAGCAATACAATGAAGCAAGAAGAGAAACCAGAAACACTAGACAGCAATACAATGAAGCAAGAAGAAGAGCCACAAAAGTTGTAAGAAAGAAAAAACGGGAATGGGAAAAGTCCAAGATTATTCAAATTGAGGAACTAGCAAAGGAGGGAGACATGAGAGGAATGTATATGAAAATTAAAGATGAAAAGAACGGATTTCAAGCTAGATCACACATGTGTGAGAACAAAGATGGTCACCTTATTACAGAAAACAGCAGGGTCATTGATAGATGGGCTGAATACTTTGAGGAGATCCTAAATACCACTGAAGATGGAGACAATGGAGAATATGAACTGCCACATGGGGGACCAGATCCTTTAGTGAACCCTCCAACACTCATTGAAACATCAGAAATAATTAGGACCATGAAGAATCACAAAGCACCAGGAGAGGACCAAATCACAGCAGAACTGATTAAATATG